TTTGCTCTTTTTTAAAACTGTGAGAATTTAAAATCTTAGGAAGGAGTGCAAGTGGATGTTATATTGTCGCGAAGTTTGATTTGAAGACCTCTTGAGGCATTGCAATAAGTGTGCAGGGATACAATATGTTAATGTGACATTTAATCAGAATAAGTATACAGTGTTACAATCATGAGCAATATCAGCAGCAGCAGCAAAACCACACTCACCATTACCACTGCAACTATAAACTCAGAACTGGATTATATTCCCAATCTCATCGTCAACATCATCATCATGTGTCTTCAAAATCTTCAACAACCGGAATTGCCATTCGGGATTACTGATAAGTTTCTACATTTGTACCAGAGGAGTTCAGACTCAGCTTATTGGACGTATATTGCATGGGGAATTGAAAAGGGGAAAAATGCAGGCTTCTTCAGATCACTCTTGTCTGGCCTAAATGGAGCCTAGGGATGGTCTTACAGGCACTGCAGTACTGAATTATATATGAAATTGGCCACTCAACAGTACATACAGATGGGCAGAGTGCCTCCAAAGTCCTTGTTGTGCACAGTATTTGAAATACCTTGAGATGCCATGCACTTTTGAGGCAGCTCAAATAATGGACACAGCATTTCGTGGAATGAGAAATATCCAATGTGATCGAATAAATAAACCAATTCTTCTCTCCACAATCTCCTCCCACGCCACCCGACCCGCTGCCCGTGGAGTGTACACCACAAAAATCTACATTACAGCGATTCGGAACACTGGAGCGTTCGCGTACCTTCGCTGCAATCCCAGAGCAGGGCTTTGATTTAGTAATCCTAACCGAAATATACTCGTAAAAATACGTCAAATATTTGTTGCGCATCAGCACTACCATAAGTAAGTGCTCTCTTGTGCCTCGGCATGTCTCGAGTGCACGTGTAGCTCATTTGCTATTAAGGACTTTACAGTCCCTGTGTGCTGTGGTCCTTATTAAAATATGTAATATCTTGTTAACTAATACCATTATGGGAAAACGAATGCAATATTGTACGATGCATATTTTTTTGTAAAAGCCTTAATGTCGCCGGTGTGGGTAGAATGTGCCTCTGTGGACAGATTTCCTATTAAATTGCTGGTGACTTATACACTCATTGTGCTCCGTGCTCATGCGATACGGGGAGTTGTTGCAATGGCTTGTGAAAACCGTTTGCATGAGTGTGCAATTCGTGCTCTTGTCCGCATGGTGGCAGTCTTGAACAGCTGTAAGAACACACGCTCAATGCCTCCACGTCTGAACATCCTGGCGGCTGCGTAGCGGATAACGGTGACGATTTACATTATTTATCTGATTAATTAGCATGGAAGTTATTCCTCCTCCAATATTTTCGAATCAAACGTCAATTAAATGGAACCACTTAATGTCACGACATAAAACTGGGACTTCATATATTGCTGTAAAGGTGATGTCTTGCTCAAATGGGCTATCGAGCGGTGATCCACCCAACCCCGATTGACAACCCCGATCCAGTGGTGGAAATTCCACATTCCTACGGTAGGGTGAGTCCACAAAGTAGTTGTCTATTTATGATCCCACAAATAAGACGGGGGGGGGGGGGCGAGTCAGCACCAGCCAGGGTACAGACTCGAAACTGTCCCATTGTGAGTGACTCGCCCTGGTGCGAGCCACCCAGCCTCCTCCGACTGCTAATACAATCCCAATTAATGAAACCACTTAGTGTCACAGCATACGTCCCAGACTTGATATATTGCTGTCTAGCGAGTGGCATTTCACCACCGCACGAGTGCTGCACATGTAATTGAGATTTTTTAAACTGTATATTGTATTGTGAGGAAGAATACGCTAAATAATACATGCAGGTGGAGAATGCTTAGTCCCACCTAGTGGGAATGGGAATTGTGTGCCTCTGTCATCAGCTATCTGCATGTATTACAGTATCTGCAAGGATGGCCAAATGTAATGTATTTATTTTTCATTCTAATGGTTAATGGACAACTCATTAATTGAAAAAAAAACTAATTTCCATAAGTAGAATTGTGTCCAAACAGCTGACACCAGTCATAATTTAAAAGTATTTTTTTTAATACAGCACATGGCAGGCCTTCATCCAGCAGTGAATTGAGCACAGTTAATGGTGTATGACATGGCTTGAACAATTGTTATTGGTGTGATTATTATTTCTGTTCACTGTCACGTATAACCTCATTCACCTTTGTCAATTAATTTCTGAATAAAGTCCTCCCCCCACGAGATCGGTCCTGTTTATACTTCACCACGCTGGTCAGGGCAGGTAGGCGAGGCAGTGACGAATCGTTGTTCATGGCAGGTTTGGACATCACTCTCCACGCATGTCAACTGTGGCAAGAAATCTAACCAAGGCTGGCTGATGCAAAGCACAGTGTGCCTAGCACCCCCCCCCACACCAACGTAGTATCACACACCGTATAGTGACATATTACTCAAAAACGATTGGCCAGAGTGGAAGAGTAGGCCAAATTCTAGATTTGAAGCTTTCGTGACTGCAAGGATCCATACTCTTTGGTTCTATTCGGTAAAGTCACGAAGGTAAAACAACAAAAATCACGACGTTTCGGCCACAACACAAGCGGCCTTCATCAGGTGAAGGGACCAGACTGTCTCGAGGACAGCGCTGGAGTGAAACAGAGCCAAGCTCAGACCGCGACCTTTAAGCTGTGTGTGGCTGTGTTTCACTCCAGCGCTGTCCTCGAGACAGTCTGGTTCCTTCACCTGATGAAGGCCGCTTGTGTTGTGGCCGAAACGTCGTGATTTTTGTTGTTTTACCTACGTGACTTTACCGAATAGAACCAAAGAGTAAGTAGGCCAAATACCGTGTTTGGCGGCTGGCTCTTTAAGCTCCCTTTAGCGAAGGGCACTTCCGCCAGCAGTGGCATGAGTAGACAAATGCAGGGCTGCAACATGAACTTTTATTTGAATTGTCTGTGTCACATTTCGATTACGCAAGTTGGACTTGACCGTTCCTTGGGATGGGTGGCCCCAGCCAGAACAAGTACGCTGACAATGCATGTGTACAGATGCATGCGTGTACTACGACCTACTTTCAATCAAACTTGGTTTAATTAAAAACTCAAAGAGTGCTCCAATTCACGCCTTACTTCTGTGCTCTCCACGCATCCTTAGGGGGAGCGCACGTGCAGCTTGGAGGTGCGAAATGTCACACAGTTGACTTTTGAAGGTTACCAGCTCCTAAAAAACCAATCAACCCCAATAAGCCTTTTGAAAATAACAATCGTCCAAACGAACATGGCCCACATTAATGAAATGGCTCACTACAAAATCCAGGCATATAAGCCTGTAATAAATTACAATTTGAATGCTTTCTCACAGTGAGCAACACTACCATTATTTGCATTTCCGTCGTTTGACTTGAGGGCCCCTTGGCACATGCTGCGTCAACGGCACAAATGCAACTGGGTCCTTTCATTTGCGAGCGCAGCACCAACTTTCTCCGATCACGGCACCAACTTCCTCCGATCACGACTGCTCCTTCGGGGGGCGAGAGGGGGGGGGGAGTTAGAAAAAAACATAACAACTTCCTTTCGCACCTTTTTAAATCAGGTGCACGCAGTTTGTCACGGCCTGATTGTGCTAGCAATTATCTCGAAACGAATGGCGTTTCTTTGTTTGGACGATTGCCCCGTGATGTTCAATGCAGTGATGTTTTGCAGCACTGCATTGTACCACACACAGTGCGCTGGTTTTTTTTCTTCTTCCGGGATTGTCTTTAATTGGATTTAGCTGGGAACTTTGTAAGTCTTTCTCATCCCATTACGTCACATTTGTGTTAGTTGCATAATAATGGATACGTCACTCAAGACAATGCATTTTACATGTATTTCTTCACTTTCCCAGTACATTATGAGATACTGTTCTTAGATTGCTGTAACCCTTGTGTAATGTACAGTTTATAGATGAATCCGTACTGTGGGTGTTTAAATAGAAAGTGATTTCCTGTAAAAAATGCGCATTGAGGCGGTGCCCATCTTCTGTTCACAGCACCTCAGGCAGCGGTGGAAATTCCACATTCCTATGGCGGACGAGTATATATTTCCATCGGACAACCACTGTTGACTTCCCCCAAAAAAGGGGGGCACTCAAATGGTACTCGACCGCGAACGGAAGGTCGGCTGAGTGATGATTCAACCCCCAACCAGGATTTTAAGTCGCAACTTTTCAGCTGCAAGCCGGTCTCTCTACCACTCAAGCCGACTGGCCGAATCCTCCCTATAATGTAGCAACAATTACGACTCCTTAACATACCAGTGGTGTTATATAATTGTGCACCTGGATGAGCAAATTAAAAAAGACGCCACTCCTTTTGCGCATCCATAAATCTACCCAACTCGCAGCCAATAATTGCGCATTTAGAGTAACAGAATGCGTAATATGTACGCTTCGCATACGATGTCATGCCGCTGGAAAATATGAACGCTAATAATGGGGAGTACACAGTACACACAATAATAACCTTGGGGACCCGGCACGTCTGTTTGTGAACGGCAGTTGTCAGGCAAACTGAACGAACGTGTTTATCATCATCATCATTAATCACCATTCATCAACAGCCATACCAAAATAAGAGGATTCTTCAACAGACTCTGGTGTTGAGAGAAAGGCATACAGAGCATGCTTGTCATGAATAAATAATGTTGAATTTGTGCAATTCAAAGGTCGTGGGGCCGATGGTTTGTGAAAAAATATATATACAGTACTTTAATATGGAAAGACGGAAACATGTAAACATCGTCTAGCGTATCTATTGTTTCCTGTATTTTTTTTCAAGACGAAAATGACTGTTGTTGTGGATTCTTCAACAGAGGCGAAGAATCTTGAGGACAGCTGTAGACCCGAGTAGCTATACTGGCTAGGGGCACCCATACCAGTCGAGGTACTCAACAAGAGGCGAGACAGAATGTGATCCTTTCACCAACTCACACTGAACATGTTTATACAACACTCGCGTCCCTACCCGGCTTCGTCCGGGGCTTGGATCCACCACGCCCGGCCGCCTTTGTCTCCCCAGTGGCGATGTTCACACGCCGCACCAGTTACTCGTTTGAGGCTGAGTCGACCTAGGGGAGGCCCAGGACCGGTTGAAATAATCGTCACCGGCGGTGGCCGTGAGCGGGAATCGAACTCGGGTAGCCGGGTTCGTAGCGCAGCGTAGCGCTCACCACTACACTACAATGCGTTACTCTTCCACACACACACATACACACACACAGATACACACATACACAGACACATACACAGCGCGCTAACCACTACACTACGATGCGTTACGCTTCCACACACACAGACACACAGACACACACACACAGACACACACACAGACACACACATACACAGCGCACTAACCACTACACTACGATGCGTTACTCTTCCACACAGACAGACAGACACACACAGACACACATACAGACAGACACACACAGACACACACACAGCACGCTAACCACTACACTACAATGCGTTACGCTTCCACACAGACACATACACAGCGTGCTAACCACTACACTACAATGCGTTACTCTTCCACACACACAGACAGACACACAGACACATACACAGACACATACACAGACACACACGCAGACACATACAGACACACACACAGACAGACACACATACACACAGACACACACAGACACAAACACAGCACGCTAACCACTACACTACAATGCGTTACGCTTCCACATGCTCGGGTCACATGACAGATTTGACATCACAGCTCACTTGCCGTGCAAATACAATAAATGCATTATTGAGCTCCCCCCCCCCCCCCCCCAAAAAAAAAGTGTATTTTTATAATTTTTGCATGGTGCACAGTCTGGGAAGTACCCACATGGCAAATTTCAAGTTTGTTGCATGTCTGGAAAGTACGCTAAACATTTTGAACAGACACACATAATCACAACTTTGCCTTTCATATATATGGAGATTACAGTTAGAAGCATGCTTACCAAGGCTAGCAGACGGTGCATCAACATACATTTCTGTTTGGAGTTTGACAATAGTAGTCCAAATTGTTTAAACCTGCGTTCCTCCCAAGCACTATTTCACACAGCAATAGACTCTGGGGCAAACAGCATTAGTTGATTAAAAAGTCACGGTATGATGCCAATTACTGGTAAGATAGGTAATAATATTACTTGCTTGCCTTAAGGAGACAGTAGGGTAAGCTATTTGGTAGACAAAGTCAATCACTGTTGATGTGCCCAGTTTGCGTGGTATGTGTATGGAAACATTGTACCTTGAGCTTTAAATTATGGTATTCCACACGGTCTAGTGGTAGGGCATTTGCCACTTGCAGCAGAGGTCTACGGTTAAAATCCAGTGGCTGCCCTAATTAACCCTGCAGGTGTATGAACCATAAATATGCACACCGTCCACTTCACAGTGAATGTTAACATCTCAAAAAGTCATTGTGTTTTGGCGTCATGGCCTAAATTTGTTACATTTTGGAAAAAATGACAGGCAAATTTCGACGTCGAAAACCGGGAAAGACCCACGTGGAAGCCACGAGGCTTTCTGGGGTACAAAAGTGAAATAACAATAACATTTCATGTAATTCTGTATCATGATTAAACGGGATTTAAAATGAGCTAACAAAAAGCTGCACTGATTTTTCACGTCTCGTTTTCACATCTTTTTGACAGCTCCTCTTATATGCTAGACAGGTAATCTCACATTGTTGAGTTGGCAGAAATTAAAGTAATGCCCCACCACTCCACAGGTGCTATGATCCTACAACTAATTAACACAACTATGTCTGAAGCAAATTGATTTTTTAAGAATAAAAAATTAACCAAGATTGTGCCTCTCAACTATTCTTCTTCCATGAACTCCTCGCAATGTGTGCAAGTTAAAATATTTTTGTCATAACTAGGGTGGAGCACTGTTATGTCCTCACTGTGATTGATTAAAAAAATCATCGCAAAGCCATCAGTTTGAGAGATGATCCAGCTCGTCACTCTGTCATTGATGCTAAACCACCTCCTAACGTATCACTCTTTTATCGTTACTACCGTGTCTAATTTTCCCTTGAAACTGCACTTATTAGTTCCTCCATTCATGTTGAGAACTACAGTACAATATTCCCTCATTATTCGCAAGGGATGCTTGTAAATATCACATTTTGCGGAGAATATTGACCTAAAAAAACCCTATCTTTTGAATGAATAACCATAATACTTAAATAACCTATTAAATCAAGATCGTAATTATAATATACACACATCCCCCTCCCCCCCAATATTCAAATATGCACGAAATGTCCCCCCCAATAAATTGCTACAAAATAGATGTGTTTATATGATTGTGGTTATGGTTGTACTTTATTAATTCATAATCTCTGCCATTACATACAATGAAACAAGAAAAAGTAAAAAAACAAAACAGAGCAATGTAATACAATACACTATTAAACATTATTGTAAAAAAATAAATAAAAAGTCCATCCTATGTGTTAGTGAATTTTTTAATATTTTAGGCAGGAAATTCGTTGGTCCCGCCCCTCCGTTGACTCCATGGCTACGGCCTTGTATTAAATACATAACAATTATTACTTTTTTATTTAAAGCTTTCGTGACTGCAGGGATTCATATTCTTGGTTCCTTCGGTAAAGTCACGTAGAAGGGAAACAAAAAAATAGTATTTAATTGTTTCCCTTCTACGTGACTTTACCGAAAGAACCAACAAAACAATAAAAAAGTATTATTTTATTGTTTCCCTTCTACGTGACTTTACCAAAAGAACCAAGAATAATTATTACTTTATCTCGTTACTCATCACTTTCTCGCATCATATTCTCCATCATCACTTGATCTCATCGCTTTCTTTCTCTCTCGATGCAGCCCTATAGAGTTCCAGATGCGATTCGCCAAAATCTCAGATTGCAAGTTCGTGAATAACAAGGGAATACTTGGCCGGACTTTCTCATTTCAGCCACACTGTGTTCTACCGCACTGTGGGTCACAAACAACACTTCTCTCTCGCTGTTTATTTCCTTTGCACCGCTCTACTTTGGAATTCCTTCCTTTTCCCCAAGTTTTTACAACCTCGCTCAATGCACGAAAATGTATTTATTCTTTTCAATTATACCTTCACACTGTCTTGTTTGTAGGCCTCTTGGCGTTTTGAACCTGAGGGCCTGAGCTCAGCAATCCTGATAAAACAATGTCACACATATTTTAGTTTATAAAACAATGTCACCCATAAAATTTTGATTTAAAGCTTTCGTGACTGCAGTAATTCATATTCTTAGTTTTTTCGGTAAAGTCACGTTGAAGAGAAACAACAAAATAATAAAATATATATATAAAATTCTCACGACGTTTCGACCATAACTCAAACGGTCGTCTTCTTTTTTATATATCTATATTTTATTATTTTGTTGTTTCTCTTCAACGTGACTTTACCGAAAAAAACTAAGAAAATGTCACCCATAGTTTAGAAAAGTGTTACGCGTAGTTAGTTTACACGGAGCGAATAAGAGTGCTTATTTTAGCAAATTTACCATACCACTGTGATCCTGAGCACAATTTGTTTTGAATTGGTTGACGGTGTAGTTTTTTTGTGTGTACCGTTGTGCAAATGCCCTCCCGATGTCACGCAAGACTGCACTCGGCAAGCCTGGTATTCCCATCAGCTGTGGAGTGGAATTTCTGCACACAAATGTTTTTTTTTATGTCTCTTTCCCCTTAAGTGAACTTTTAAGTTTAAGTCAGTGTGAAAGCAATGGAATGAACAGATATAGAGTACTGGAAATACTTTCAATGAACACATTTACAAATCTGCTCTTTGTTTATCCACTTCTGGATGAAGGTCTTCCGTGCCGTATCGATCGTGGGGATTGTTTGACCATACTTCATCACGCCTGTCAGTGCAGGTTGGTGAACAACAGGGGTGGCAGGACTGATTCAGATATCACTCTCCACTGATGCCAGTTGTGGCTGTGAATTGCACTGGGGTCACCGGGTTCATTGTGGTGAGATATTCTCTGAGCATATATGTTAATTTGGGTTATTTACTAATTAAATATTTAGAAAACACCTACTTAAAACAAATTAATCAAAATAATGTTAAGCTGGTTGTAATTGTTATATCCCATATTTGTATTCTGTAGTTTAATTGTATACAATATTAACAGTTAAGTAAAAGCCCATGAAATTGTATGGTTAAAGACCCTCCTCAGAGTCTACCAAATGTCTTGGTTCAGAAAGGCTGTGCCGGTGTCCTGAACTTTTGTAGAAATAGGTATTTTTAATTTTTGATAATCCGATGACGTCTTTCATGTTGATGTGTTCTGTAACGTCTTTGTTGTATCTTGTTTCTGCTTCATGTGTTATGTTATTTTTACCTGCATTATTTTATATTGAAACCCCTAAAATAAGGTAAAAAAATAACAATTCATCATTAGACCTCCTTCGACCAGATGATGCCTTTTGGCACCAATTGGGTCGAGGCTCAAAAGAAAGCCGTCCCTTGGTGTGGACCAATCAGTTTCAAGGACAATGCCTCATATATTATCATAGTCTGTTTTCTGTTTGCATTTTGACTGCAGGTATTGTGGTTAATGCAGACATGAATCCTTGTAAAAAAAGTTTCAGTTTTGTTGCCAGGAAAAAGGGGGAAACCCCTATTATTAAAACATGTCCAATTAATTAAATCAATTGATTTGTATTACCCTCTCAAACAATGGCCCCGATATTTTTTTTTATTTGTCCAATACATTGACAACTACCAACTCTTACGCAAGCTCTCAAAATAATGTTTTGGGCACATGCTGAGAAGAGGTTCGATTCTGTATTCACTCGCCCAGTGTTGTTCTTGTGTCAGAATTGTCATCAATGGAGAGAGCTGAAATCTACTGACACGGGGTGATCTCAAGGGGAAAGTGCGATGTCAATATGTCCCTGGTCCGGTGACTTCATTCAGAAACATGAGGTCTCAGTCCACCTGGCTTCTTTCTAGCCTATCCCCTGTGGAGGACACAACAACAAAAACAACAAAACATTATTTTGTTTTCCCCAAATGCGTCAACACACTTTTGTGCAGTGCGTCTCCCAGCAAAATCCATTAATTCACGCCAGCGCATTGCACAATTTTAATTGCGCTGATTGCAATTTTTTTGTCGCATCGACTCCATTCCAAGTTGTAGAAATCCATTCTCTGCCTTCACAATCTGCTGTTGACATCCAAAACAAGCCTCACTGCCTGAGAAGATGGCTCAGCCCCACTGTACCACTTCTGTGTGGCTGTGGTCACCAAAGCCTTTCGGTTTTCCAAGGGTGACCTTTTTTTTATTGTCCAAGACAAAATAAATTCGCGGCGCTAAGCTACAGTGCAATTTGCAAGGTTATTATATCCTTCGTGAGGTGGGCCACCAAAATCGTTAACCGAATTTGGTTGATATTTTTTTTTTGTTCACGATGGAACGTGTCATATTTACGCAGTTTGCGGCGATCTGCTGTACAAACTGTATGCACGACGGCACAACCTTTGCAGTACAGTACTATATTATATACGTGTGTATAATAAATTAAAAAAACCTCACATTTTTCCCAATACAGTGAGTAAATCTTGCAGCTTTACTTGTGACCCATCGGACAAAGGTGTTGGCCCTGTGCCAATAGCCAGCCGCTGCATTAGCGTTTAATTTTTCCACGCTACATAAGCCTCGGTCTACATTTAGGTCTGGGGATTGGTTCGAGCATGCACGTGGCATATAATCTCTTATTTGTACCAATCGCATTGGCAGGACACGTAGGATTCTGTGGAAATGCCTCAGGCTTAGATTGGACAGAGAGAAAATGTTTCTAACCTTTATGGAACAAAACGATAAAGTGTAATCATACGGTGCAGTGAACAGAAAGCAACACATCATGGCCAATATGTGCATGAATTACTAAATGCGGTAGAGAGAATATTGGGGGTGGGTGGGCATTATACATTTTGGGAGCAACGATTAATGCGATTGGTGACACGGGATGGATAGGCAGGGGTGTTAGTTAACTTGTGTAAAGCTTCTTGGCAAGGAAAGTAACTTGTGGCCACTGTGGCAGCCTTTTCAGATGTAAATGTAAACATTCTTTTGCAATGCCTGATCCTTATGGTTTTCGTGCACAGTAATGTTCTAAATTACAGTATTGTACTAATTACGTTTCCTTATTGATTTCCATAAGGGCTCAACCAATGAAAGATCCACAGAAAACGGAAACAGCATACGTTGTGAGTAGGTTAATGGCTCTGCAGTAAAAACCCATTTAACAAGACACGTATGGTTAATTTTATAAAGTAGCAGAAGCCACAATGCACCTTTTGTCAATAAATGCTGCCCATGTTAACATCTGCCATCTGCTACCTTGATTGGTCCTAAATCAGGCTGGATAGCTGAGCAATCTGTATTCTCCACTGAGCCAGCAAATTCTCCTTATAGCTGCCCTGTGATCTCTAGAGAATTGAGGTTTGCTGAAAAGTGAATAAAGACCTCGTGATATTGTCTGTGAGAGGAAGCCACTTTATACATATCATCATCAGCAAACATGCACTGTGATTTTTTCTTTTTGGGTTTTCAATAGAAAACAGTAGTGCAGTAAAAAACAACAGAGTGCGATCTCGGTCCACCAATGCAACAATTTCACAAAAACTGATCTCATTGATCAATGTCTTGCCACTCTATCATTCATCTAGAATATTGACCATTATCCCTTATCGTCATGTTTCCTGCCAAAGTCCACTTTTATGAACATTGTTATGTCAAACTTCAATCTGCTATCTGACCGATGTGTTCCTTTTTCTGTCCAAGTATAATCACTTTGCATATTCTTTTGCACACTTTTCAGATTTTGTCCCATTATGAATTTCCATAATTATGATCCATATCAGAGCAGATAATATAAAAAACATTAAAAAACATTTTTGGAAAAAAATTGAATGTGTGTTTTTCTACTTTCTTCATGCAATATTCATACATTTCGATAACGTGAGTAATGGATGTAGTTGGCAGAGGGCGAGGCTAGGACATTGAGGAGTGATGAACAGTGGCAACTTCAGTGAGGCCACTGTGAATGTGTGGGGTAGCTATGTAAAAGTGGGGCAGTCTTCTCACCACGTGTTTAACCTCCAAGACACGTAGAAACAGATTTTTCGACCATCGACCACCTACAATTCGATTATGGAAAAATATGAATACATATAATTTTGCCTTGCATTAATTGGCTATGAAATGAATTTGAATAACAATTTTAAAAAGTTAAACAGATTTGGAAAACGAATAGACTGTCATAATCTTATCACGTTTCCATAACTGATTAAATAATGGGATCATGGATGTCTATTGGCTCTAGGAACTTGACCCGCGGCATAGAACCAAGAAAAAATTGGTATATGTTGGTTTTACCATCTTAAAATATACTGCCGTTTTTGTTTAACCTTAATCTGGGCGTGAACCCGAGGCCATCAAGTACTCAATTGACAATTGAAACAACAGTAACTTTGCTTCCATAAGAGGTTTTTTTGGTTAGATCGCGTAAATATATAAATGTGCCGTTAAAATCCACCACCACCCAACACAGCCAGCCAGTTAGTACAGCACACCGGTGTGTTGGAGAGCCAAGCCATAACATTCACAAACTGAGTACGACGTTTCGCCAGAAATTACAACTAGCTTCATCAGGCGACAGCCAGATTTGTGGAGAGGTCTTACTGTTTCGTTCCTTATATGAATACAATGTAAATGCTTATTTAAAACATTTGGAAGCATATTGAGCGCACTGAAACTGTATTTTCAATGGATACCATTCACATACATTATACATTGGCATGTATAATTATGGGTGGCATCAAATATGAGCAGAATTATTTTCTCTACAAAATAAAAAATGCCATTATCTATTTCTGAACACATTTTATACTTGAAAAATGTGTTTAAGCAAGCAAACTCTTGATTACTAGATATATTGGGAAGAGCATAGTGTTTTATATGGAGTTATCTTGCCTATAACATCTGATTAAGCACGAACAATGCTGACGAGACCCCAAAGATCCCATCTAGTTCGATTTGCTTAAATGCAACTGGATTTTTGTGTGGAAAACCATTAAAGCATGTTGAATGTGGGAACTCAGAACGGGGGTACAGTGAGGGGAAAAAGTATTTGATCCCCTGCTGATTTTGTACGTTTGCCCACTGACAAAGAAATGATCAGTCTATAATTGTAATGGTAGGTTCATTTGAACTGTGAGAGACAGAATAACAACAAAAAAATGCAGAAAAACGCATGTTAAAAATGTTATAACTTGATTTACATTTTAATGAGGGAAATAAGTATTTGACCCCTCTGCAAAACATGACTTAGTACTTGGTGGCAAAACCCTTGTTGGCAATCACAGAGGTCAGACGTTTCTTGTAGTTGGCCACCAGGTTTGCACACATCTCAGGAGGGATTTTGTCCCACTCCTCTTTGCAGATCTTCTCCAAGTCATTAAGGTTTCGAGGCTACCGTTGGCAACTCGAACCTTCAGCTCCCTCCACAGATTTTCAATGGGATTAAGGTCTGGAGACTGGCTAGGCCACTCCAGGACCTTAATGTGCTTCTTCTTGAGCCACTCCTTTGTTGCCTTGGCCGTGTGTTTTGGGTCACTGTCATGCTGGAATACCCATCCACGACCCATTTTCAATGCCCTGGCTGAGGGAAGGAGGTTCTCACCCAAGATTTGACGGTACATGGCCCTGTCCATCGTCCCTTTGATGCGGTGAAGTTGTCCTGTCCCCTTAGCAGAAAAACACCCCCAAAGCATAATGTTTCCACCTCCATGTTTGACGGTGGGGATGGTGTTCTTGGGGTCATAGGCAGCATTCCTCCTCCTCCAAACACGGCGAGTTGAGTTGATGCCAAAGAGCTCCATTTTGGTCTCATTTGACCACAACACTTTCACCCAGTTGTCCTCTGAATCAGGGGCGGAGCCAGGATTTCAGGCCGGGGTGACATTCAACAAATTTTAATTTCAAGAATGATTAGAGAGTCAGGCTGTTGAACTTGACGCCATCGGTTGGCGACACACTCTGACAATGCAGTTGCACGGAGTCCGCCAGACCGAGTGTTGTACACTTATACGCAGAATATCACCCCTGTCACCCCCCCTGGCTCCGCCCCTGCTCTGAATCATTCAGATGTTCATTGGAAAACTTCAGACGGACATGGATATGTGTTTTCTTGAGCAGGGGGACCTTGCGGGCGCTGCAGGATTTCAGTCCTTCACGGCGTAGTGTGTTACCAATTGTTTTCTTGGTGACTATGGTCCCAGCTGCCTTGAGATCATTGACAAGATCCTCCCGTGTAGTTCTGGGCTGATTCCTCACCGTTCTCATGACCATTGCAACTCCACGAGGTGAGATCTTGCATGGAGCCCCAGGCCGAGGGAGATTGAAAGTTATTTTGTGTTTCTTCCATTTGCGAATAATCGCACCAACTGTTGTCACCTTCTCACCAAGCTGCTTGGCAATGGTCTTGTAGCCCATTCCAGCCTTGTGTTGGTCTACAATCTTGTCCCTGACATCCTTGGAGAGCTCTTTGGTCTTGGCCATGGTGGAGAGTTTGGAATATGATTGATTGATTGCTTCTGTGGAAAGGTGTCTTTTATACAGGTAACAAGCTGAGATTAGGAGCACTCCCTTTAAGAGTGTGCTCCTAATCTCAGCTCGTTACCTGTATAAAAGACATCTGGGAGCCAGAAATCTTTCTGATTAAGAGGGGGTCAAATACTTATTTCCCTCATTATAATGCAAATCAATTTATAACATTTTTGACATGCGTTTTTCTGGATTTTGTTGTTGTTATTCTGTCTCTCACTGTTCAAATAAACCTACCATTAAAATTTTAGACTGATAATTTCTTTGTCAGTGGGCAAACGTACAAAATCAGCAGGGGATCAAATACTTTTTTCCCTCACTGTATGTTCAAGCTAAACTACCACCAAAGGACTATGAAACTGCTTTTACTTTTTCTAAATAAATGGCCTTTGGCGAGATGTTAACTACCTCGCCTGGTATACAGGAGGTCTGGGGTTCAATTCCGACCCTGACGCCTTCTGTGTATTTGGAGTTTGCACGTTCTCCCCGTGGTCGTGTGGATTTTTCTCTGGGTCCTCCGGTTTTTCCCTCCACGTTTAGAGTATTTGGCTGCTGTACATTTCTACGTGATAAGCCACTTCGTTGAGCCATCATTTGTGACCACGTTGGCTTCTGAAAGAGAGCTATGTAGCTCAGTGGGCCTTACCTGGTAAAATAAATAGATATAATAGCCGACGATTCGGGCAATGACCCTTCATTTGACGTGCTATGAAAAGGACAATTTTCCGATACGTTGCCCGTTATGGTATTTGTCATGTCAAGGCCAAACAGTGTTGTTATTGGTGACTGTGTTCGAGTGTTTTGTTTATTGTGCTCTTCAACTACTGCCAACGTAGCAGCAATCACCACCAAATAATGTGTTCCACGTTAACTACTTTGGTTGCGAAATTAAAGCGATATTTTTTTATTCACGTAAAAAGACAATACGTAAGGGGACATTGCGAACAAGGTTATACGGCGCTACGCGAAACACGCGTTGCGGCACTTGAGGTCACCCGGGATTGCTTAATCGTTGTACGAAATACAATAACGAGCCTTCTCCTCTCAGCGCTTGGGCGTGAGTCCGAAGGGGGAGCTTGAGATTGGAATTCCTAGCGCGCTTAAGCACGGGCGCGCGCCCTCCTCGCTCCCCGCCCCTCGCCACTCACCCCCCGCCCCTCGCATAGACTTCAATCGGGCTCACAGTGAACCAATGGTAGGGGCCGAATCGGGCCCGGCACCACGTGCTTGAAACAAGCCAATCGCGTCGCGGAGTACGGCGTCCGTAATCCCCCCCCCCACCAGCCCCACCGTTGCCACCCCATGCGGCGTCTGTACGAGCGCCATCATTGGTAGGGGAGACCCACAGTTCTATTGGAGACCGAACCATACGTCAATAAATACATGAAAAGTCACCCCTCCTCCGCATGTCACAAGATCGTCGATTTAACAGTTAAAACGTATCAAAAGGGGCGTGCAAGTGTACGATCAACAAACGCAATGCAGCTATTGAGTCCATGTCACCCCTTAGAAAGATGGCCGCCGGAACTCACTGGAATAAATAGTACAATTTTCTTACGTGCCAAAATATCGATGAAATATAATTTAAAAAACGACGTGCGTACAATATAATTTAACGTTCAATCCCGTGCTACAACACGGTTAATGTTTTTTTTGTTGTTTTACATCCCTTACGAGTATGGCCACCGGACGTGCTCAACGTTGGAAATAAGAGTTTTGCCGGAAGTAACTGCGTACACGCGCCGCGATGCACGCCGGGAGTCGGCCCGGCCGGGAGAGGCGAGATGGCGGCTCCTGGCAGGAGGAGGCGGCTGAGGCTGCGCGACCACAGCGGCTGCTCGGAGTGGCTGTGAGGTGCGAGCGAGCGAGCTAGGCTTGAGCAGAGAGAGAGAGATACAAAATATAAACAACACGCGGAGCAGAGAGCGGCGTCGGTGGTGGCGCTCTCGTGCCTTGCGAGCATCCGCAGGAGCGACGAGTAGCAGTGAGGAGCGAGAGGTGAGGAGATGCAGAGGGGGCTGGGGGTCAGGCGCCGCTTGGCCTCTGTTGCTGCTGCTGCTTCTGCTGTTGTTATTATTCTCTTACGCGCAGTAAAATACGCAACGTAACGTGAGTGTAGTGACAAGTTAACTGTGCTGTCGCCCTGCCTATTACGCAGAGGCTGCAGTGTTTAACGTTGGTACCGTTCACGTATAAGCAGCGTGCTACGTGTTCGTACGCGTACTGTAAGCGGTGTTGATATGGTACAGTGTTGTGTTATGGTGCTAATAGAGCACAGATCATCCACTGTTCGTGCAGTCCCGTGCGTATTACACACATGTGCATCCCCTGTGTCAGTCCACTGTTGGATGAAGACCCCCCGCCCGCACTGTACGCGTCGTGGTGGTTATTTGGCCATACTTCACCCGATGTCAGATCTCGAAAGCTAAGCCGGTTTGAGCCTGGTTAGTGCTGCGATGGGGAGTCCACCGTGCAAAGCAAGTTTTAAAGGCTACGAGGCTACGTGGTTGGGTAGCAGAGGGCAATCCAGCAGAACGCATTGCTATTCTGTACTGTACTTCGAAGCGATCGTGTTAATGGGTCCCTACTTTAATCAACTGACCGGCGTGGTGAAGTATGGCCAAATAATCACTACGACACGGACGGCTTGGGGAGACCCCTCATCCAGCGGTGGATGACTACATTTATAAACAGTGGTAATGCTCTACACTAGCTATGGAGCACAGCATGCTGTAGTCGTACGATGAAACATAATGGAATAGAAAAGTAGACAATGTCTCTCTCTCTCTCCACATGAAGAATGTAAGTGTTTTACACAACCCAACGACCCCATTGGCCTTCTGGAGTTGCATAATTCCGGCAACATTGACTAAATACAAGCAAACTGAACCGCTTGCAACGTAACGTCTCAACAGAAAAGTCAGGCTTGCTTGAATTAATGCTGGTGAACTGCCAAATATGATAGGCAAGGGCATGGGTCCTATTCCGACGCAAAACATATAATACTACCACACACTCATCGGCGTCGTTGTGGAGCATATGAGTAACAAAATAGTTGAGCGGGCAACTTAATATTGTCTCTTTCGTGTGTATTGGGTCAATGCCTCTGAAATGATGCACAAGTCCGTGGGGCCGTTGATTTGTGTAAAACAATATATTCCTGTTCATTTTTACGTGGGGAGACGGATGTATTGTCTTCGCAATTTTGTCACTCATAATTTCGACGACGTAAGTTATTTTTTTATTATTTATTGGACATGGTAAACGTTTTATATAAAAAGAAATACTTCTACAGTTATTTAGTAATGTTACCAATCTTAATACTGTGAATCATGGATAACTGCTTATGTATTATACATACAATAAATATAAACTATTCCACAGATAGTTAAAAATACAGTACTCTAGAATAATGTATTGAATTTGATAGTAATAGTATGCACTATTTAACGCATGTCTCTATGTTAACCACAGTAAACATTCAGTATGCCTTCCATTATTATACTGCATAGGCTTCACTCGTTTTATGCGGAAGATGCGTTCCAAAAAAAGGCGCAAAGCGAAATCACACGAGACTACTACCTTGGCGAGTTGCGCACACAATACACAAACAATGTTTACCACGTCCGATCACATGACCGCATATGAGTGAAATCAAACCGACCCCGCATAAAGCGAGGGAAACGTGTACTATTAAAAAATAATCGACGCCTCGAGTGGCTTGCTGGCTCGGCTCCTCTCCACCCCAACAGTAACTCTGTTGTTAGTGACTGCGGGCCTTTGTCACCGAAACTAACTGGGTAACTGGCTAAACGAATTTTCCACGTAACATTGAATTGAACGTTCTAAAGAATGGATAGCGACACTGAAGAGGTGGGTGTAATGAATTAAGAAGACAGACACTGCTTATTTAAAATTGATCTCAGTTTTCAATTTGTGCTGCTATTAATGTAATTATTTAGCCATAATATTACGTAAACTCTAGAGAATATAATAACAAAAAAACCTCAATACATGCCCTTGCCATTCTATCTATTACATAAAAAGCAGATTACGTTTAGCTTCCCGAGTGCAGAATTGTGAGAAAAGTTAAAATTATAGCTATTTCTTAATTTCCATTGCAGAATACGGTAACGGGCTCTCTATTGGTTTTTCGATCGTAATTGTTTTCTCATGCTGTAACTTAAAATGTGGTGTTAAAACAGCATATGTTATTATTGGTAACATTACTCTATTGTGTATTGTAGGCTATTTATTCTAGTACTCAGATTGTAAATGTTGTGGCGTGGCTCTCCAACACACTGGTGTGCTGTATTAGTGTTGAATTGGCCACGTTCTGTTAACGTGACAACCCTTACTAGTTGGCTGTGTCACGTGGTGGTGGGTTTTAACGACACATTTATATATTTACGTGATCTAACCCAAAAACCCCTATCATGGATGATATTGGTCGCGAAAGCCTACGTGTTAAATTGTAGGCTATTGTAAATACAGTAAGTGCAGATTATTTTAGTACAGTACTGAAAGACTATGTGCTTGCTTGTTTTTTACTTGAATAACAAACCATACTTGTCACATCACTTCCACTTATATTAACAGTTCATTCAAATTATACCATTTGAATTAAAAAATCACATTTTCTAATTAGCAAGTATTCATTGTTTACATGTCTATCTTGAATTTTTTATTGTATGACTAATTTCATTTATTTATTTTTATTCATGATGGAAAAAATAATTTCACTGAATAGGTATTGATTTTAACATGTAAAACTGCTTGTCAAATGTTTAAATTCACAATACATTTATACGGCAAAGGCATGTCACATTTAATCTATTTTCATTTCGTTCAGGTCACGTTCAATCACTTGTACGGTTCATGAAATCATTCACATGGAATCACTCGCGTATCATTTACATGCAGTGCCTATGCACATATCTTGGTGGTGGTGCTTGTCAGCGTTTGTACAGTACCACTGGCCCGTACTGGTCGTGAGGAGCTTGTTTAGAGGTGTCTTGTTTTCACAACAAGTTATATGTTTGGTTTATCCTTTCTGTGCTTGTTTCATGCCCGTGTTCTGCCATTCCCTTGGCTCAATAAGGAAGGCCCATGGTATAATTGGTGGATCCAGGCCAAGACCCCTGGTACCCATTTATCCACGTCTTCTCCAGAAACGGTCATGCTATTATTGTGACCCCCGTGACCATAATTCGCTAAACCAAAACATGATAGAGCGCAAGCGCATTATGATGTCCCACGTATTATCAAAGTGTCCTCACAATTACACTTGGTAAGAAAAATCTCCTGCGCAGATTTTCTCTGTAAATAACTTTAAAAATGTAAAAAAAAAGCATTGCACCGTGCCTGCAATTAATTTACATTTAAAATTTACGCAATAATTTCAAAGTTCTCTGGCAGCGTTTATACTTTGCATGGTGAATGCATGCAGGCCACGGAATGCGGTAAACAATGACAACGCTTTGCGTGCTACGACGTCAGCTCCCGAGGTGGCAGCGTGCACGCTCCGTAGCGTGATGTGTTCTGGATTGTACGGCTCCGTGAGGATCGGGCCAGTTTGCGCCACGTGTTCTTCAAAAGGGGTTAGGAAAGGTTGCTTCACTGTACACATTGTCATCTCACGTTAAGGTAAATGCACGTACTTTTTTTTTCCCCAAGCGTAATCACCTTAGATTATTGATAGAAGGTAGAAATATACATTTTTTTCTCTTCACATTCAAAAAATGTAAAGTGTATTAAAATTATTAATTATCCAAGGACGGCTATTGTCCGAGCAAATGACGCTCCAAGATTGATGCCTTGTACTGTACATATTGTTTTATTTGTATTCCATAATGTACTGGTGATCACCATGAATAGCAGGTTGTTTTAGGGCTACGCTATATTATGAGTAGTGCAACAAAAATTCATAATCAGATTCTTCATTTTTACTGGAGGAATCCGATGAGCTATGAAGCTCTTTTTCATAGATGTCGTGTAGAACACCTTCAACCTGCACTGGCCAGAAGTGTGAAGTATGGTTATGTAACCCTCACAAACCACATGGCATGGGGAAGTAAGCAGTGGAAACCTATAATTTAAGGAAAAGCAGATGACAAGTTAGAATAGATGACAACCACAGTGACAGGTTAACGTACAAAGATTTATGTATAATTTTCTTGTATTTTTTGTGATTCAAATTTAAGGTTAAAGTATGTTTCATTGTAGAAGTACAGGGTCCCCTCAGATATGTTGCAATGAGCTTTCTCTGCATCCTATTTGCAAAGTACACAGTAATACACGAGCTAAATAGATGTTTCATTAACACCACTCCCCACCACTCAGCCTCACCTATATAAATTCCCAATGAAAGTGCCTGTTTTGGCCAGACACTAGGCCACATTGGGTATGGACAGTGGGTGAGAGTGACGATGGCTTTTGGGTATTTTGAACTTATTTCGCATCATGCGCAGCCAGCCATGCGAATTGGAGGTGTGAGAAAGGACAACAACCTAAATCCAAAAAAAGCATTTGTAAAGAAATTAGTTTTCAATCTAAATTAAAAAGTCCATAGCTTCAGTGGCTTCCTAATATCGGAAGGAAGAGCGTTCTAGACGGCCGTAGAAGCGCATCTTAAAGCACGTAATACAGTGACCAGCTTTGTTTGATGGTTAGCCAAAAGCTGCTGCTGTGACGATGACCAGAGTTTGCATAATGGGTAGATAGGTTGAACCACTGGAACTAGGATCTGTAATTTGTGGCAACATGATGGGCTGAGCTCTTCACTGTTCCGGGTACTCTTTAAGACTCATGGAAACATAACATTTAACGGGTCAGAACAGTGATAAGCCATTGCTGACCTTATGTGCACTTTTTGTCAAAAAATGAATTTTATATAAATGTAAAATATAAATCAAAAGTGCATACATCTGTTTATGCAGATTGTGGGAGAGTCACTATCATCGTATTAGAGTACTTGCAGTTATTTATTTACATATGGC